CTAGATTTAGAGTGAAGTCGTCTGTTTCCTTAGGATCACCAATAAGCCCTGCTACCAAGCTAAGACCTTCTTTATGGCGCAGGTCCAGAGGCACTACGATGAGGTGAGCCCATATCTTGATAGAGCTAAGAGGGGGGGTAGCAGAAGAGTGTTCAGACGACCATTGAGCAGTATGAAACATCGATTCACCAACATACCATATATTTTTGTCCAGGATTTTTTCACGAAGGAAATCACTGGGATTCTGACCAGTACAGACCTCTGCAGGGGGTTGTAGTGCATCTCAAGACGTCCACCTTTGGCCCACATATGACAGAGAACATTTTGATTGTGCTTGAAGGGGGGAGGACGACCGTTAAAGTAGCACACAATGAAGTCCTTATGTAATTCCGCTCCTTTTTGGAAGACAGAGTCTGGAATAAGCACACGGGGACGACCCATTGCAGATAAGGTGACAGGAGCAAGTCTTTCTAGAGCTTTATCACCTCTTACACGAAGATTATCAGCAAGAGTAGGAGTAACAATAATGGGAGGGGCATAGGAGGGGTAGTATTAAGTGGTGGAGTAACAGTTGGAGTAGGGAGTAAGGGAGGAGCAACAGGTTGCGGATGGGAAGAAAGAGGGGGGGGGGATTGTCGGTGGGGACATGGGTGGTAGGAACAGGGGAGTGGGAGGGTATAGGAAGGATAAGAGGAAGGTGATTTGGTAAAGTGGTGTTGCACAAAGCACGGTTAGAAAGTAAGGGGGAATTGTGATTAGGTTTGAGAATCTTAAAGAAGGGAGGGGTGAGTTTCTGAGAAGTTAAGGATGGGGTAATTGAGTGAGGAGGAAGGGGATTAGGGTTTCCTGTAGCAGGAACAATAGGGGGAGGGTCAATATCAGCAGGAGAGCCAAGATGAGGAGAGTTTTTTGTGATAGCTAGAATAGGAGACGAGTCAAGAACAAGAGTCATAACAGTATCTACTTGGGACTTAGACAAGTGAGATCTGAGTAGTTCAGAACGGGAGATAAGAGAAGTAGAAGCTAAGGGAAGAAAGAGATGAGGAGAGAGAGGGGAAACTGGGTCGGGAGGGTCTGGAGGGAAAGGGGGGGTAAGGGAGCATCTCCGGAGGTTGAAGACGCAGGTTGCACGGCGGAAACACAGCCAGGGAGCACCCAACGGGACTGCATTGGGAAGCGTGTCAGGGAGAAGCTGACTTTTTCGAGGTTCCAACTTGTAGAAAGGTTTTGGTCTTTTTCATTATAGATCATATTTTTGCTATTTGGGACACATATTTTTTTTTGCAAATATCTATTTTTATTGATATAAATTGATATTACTATTAAAACAACTTAAGAGGAATAATTAAGATTTATTCACAGGATTACCAGAAAAAAGAGAAGATTTCGTTGACAATGACTATAAATAACTTGGAAGAGAAAACTTAAGAGGAATAATTAAGATTTCATTTCGTTCACAAGATTACCAAAACAAAGGAAGATTTCCTTGACAATATAAATAATTTGGAAGAGAAATAAATTACAATTGCTTCTCTATTTTATCTTCACTGTAAAATGTTACAACTGCTATTTCGAGAAAAACTGATGACAGCGGTAAGTAATCTTTTAAAAACTAGTTCCCAGAAAACTACAGAATCATTTAAAAATTTTAAATTAAGTTTTACCCATGCTTCAGCTGTGCCTCTGTCGTGGAGTTAGATTTGGTTAACCTTTCATGCTATATAGTATATACATTTTCTTTTCCTCACAGAATATAAACTTAGATATAAAGACATGACCCCATCACCAGCCTTTTTTTTTGTTACTTTTTTAACCATTTAGTTATTCTTTTATTTTTCCTTTAAACGGGAAATAATTGTTTGAATTTGTTGCAAAGTAAGAAATCACATGTTTCATTTTTATTCTGTTGACAAGCTTAATAGCACTATAAAGAAATGGTAACTACGGATTTGGTAATATAAATGGGACGGAATTAAATTCGGTGTGGTACAACTGCGGTTCATGCGATTTGCAGAACAAGTGCAATTTTAGTAAAAAAGTAATGCGGTTTTGTAGAAAAAGTAGTGCAGTTTTATAAAAAAAGTAGTGCAATTTTGACAGAAAAAATAATATAAAATACAAATATTCATATATTTCTAAAAAAATTAAAAATATCTTTATTGTTAATTTTGTAATATTTTTATGATAAATTTAAATATTATAATTAATTTGAAATAAAAATTTTAATTAATATTATAGATAGATTATATCATGGATATTTTAGCATTCATTTCTTTCTTGATTTAGTTGAGATGTTTTGAATATAAAAATACATATACTGCTTTAAGAATTTTAATTTTATGATTATACTAACAATTTTGACCAAAAAAAGATTATACTAACAATAAAAATAAAATAAAAAACATTAGATAGCTGCTTTTAAATTTACAAAAATGTGAAATGTTTTTACTTTTTCTGATTCAAATTTATAGAAAAATATTTTTCTATTAAACCGATTTATTATCTTCAGTAAGTTTGATGTGGCATTAAAAAGCTTATATTAGATCATATGCAAATGTATAAAATTGATAGTTGACAACAATGACTCTTTTTACTAATATAATTTATCGACCAATTTTTAGTAATGGTTTTTCTTGCTTACCTATTTTATTAAGCGTTCCAGGTAGTATTTATTATAGTTTATCTAATTACATAACCAAGTAAATCACCGTAACTTTATAAAAATGAATACTTTATATTATATAGTTACATATGTAATTATGAAAACATACATCTATTTTATATATTTAACATGAAAAACACACACTATTTCAAAACCGCACCATAATTCAAATGGGAGTTATAGTGAATGCGGTATTGACAAAGCTGAACAAAAAATAAAAAATTATTGAATGGTGACTTAGGTGCGTTTTTCTTTCATTTGACAATTCCCGCTTTTAACGTCGCCATTCATAACCTTAATACATTACGAAAACAATACTTCTATTTATATGTTCTTTTGGTTGTCTCCTTTTCTCCAACAGAAAATAACAATTATAGCCAGAACAGTGACGAGGTCTATAAACGGCTTAACTTTTTAGGTTTCACAAGTAGTCAAATAACTAGTTTCTTTTATCTTCGTACTATAGTCTATATCTACAATTATGAACTGGTACAAGTAATTAAGTTGGTGGTAATGATGTTAAATTATGTAATAATGTGAACGTACCAATAATGATGGAAAAGCATTAATATATGGACATTTTCTACCGAATTTATGTGGATTGGAGCAAAAAGAATTATGATGTTACCTAACAATCTAGCATCTTATAGTGATAACTAGGAAATCAGCAATAGTACAGTGTAACAGTGATTTTAAATAAAACTAATTTGAATGAACCAAAATTGACAAAACTGTAAATTAATTTTATAGAATAATTTATTATCTATAAATAGAAAATACAAGATTTTTTCTTCGATAGTTTATTGAGAAAAGACCTTCCTTTTTAACTTAAAAGAAATTGCGATGATTAAGTGAGTGGTAAGCAATTTGCTAACACATTTGAATTTGACATGATTGATATACGAAAATTGTCAACGGTTGGTCACTTATACAAGGATTATATGTAAACACTAGGACCGGACCCACCCTACGGGCGGGTAAACAAATATACGAAATGATATAAATATATTTTAAAATTGAATGAAATTTTTAGTTTACTTTTAATTATAATTTTCACTATTTCACTACAAATTTTATCATTTCTTTTTTTAATAAAAATTATATATTTGTTACTATACTAAAAAATTCATTAAAAATATAACTATTTTACTTTCTTCACAATATTTGGAAATTCTGTGAAGGTTTAATATTGATTGCAACAGTTGACATGTGGTCTTTTTGATGTATTTAAGTGTTTTTAGATCATACATTTTGTTTTAAGTTTTGAAATATTAGTTATCTATTTTTATGAAACATGATTGATATGTGATATTTTCTATATAATATGTTAAGATATTGAGTGTAGGAGTTGTATAGTTGACTAAATGACATAAATATATAGTTGTGATTCTTTGAATAAAATAATATTTTTAATTTAGATCATGCATTTCCTTTGTGTTATTTGATTTCTTTGAGATCATCAACTATCATATGTTTTATTTGTAGATTTTTGTGTATCGTGGTTAGTCAGAACCTTGTAATTATTTGATTAAATATAAAAGTTCATGAAACGGCGTTGTTTAAATCGTTTTATCGTGGTTGCCTATATTTTTAAATTGCTATTTCTTTGATTTCTTTTTTTTTTGTGGTTAAACTTGTTTATGATATTCAATCCTAATTTTCTTGCGATAAACTAAATTTCGTAATATAATGTTAAATTTTAATGGGCTATTTTTATGTTAACAGTATGAATATTTTGAATTCCTGACATACTATTTTTAAAATGTACACATTTTTGTAGATAACTACCGAATCAGCTTCACAAATTCAAATTACGGGTTTAAATTTGGCGGTAGATGGATTTGTATGATCAACCCGATACCTAAATGAAAGATTCCATCATTTTGGATCAACGCCTCTTTCAGCAAAGATGTTTTATCATGACACTCTCCATAAAAAGAAACAAACTATTTGATACTTCAATTGCTGCACTTCTGCTTTGTTGATGCAGTATGTTGATTCAAGTTCTGTCGTCATATACTTTATTGGTTTTGAAGATCCTCTTCCTTTTGAGCTTGAAACGGATTTAATTATTTTTTATCTTCTCATATTTCCCTTATAACCTGGTTCTATGTTCTCAGCTTTGTAGTTAAAGCGTACACTGGTATTGGTGAGGGAAAGGAAGATCGGATGTTCTACTAAAGAAAATCTGAGAGCAAATCAAAGAATCCCCTCTTATATGGTTAAATAGAGGACCTGGCTGCTTTTCTTTATTTGGGTTTGTTTATGAAAATGGTAAATATAAAACCTTACATTCTTAACTCATATTTAGTGAAATTTTGACTTGGGGAAATCATATATGCTTGCTTTCACGGTTGAGGCCTACGATAGAAGTCTCCCTTTCTTGGAATCTGCTACATATTCATGAACTTGGACTAATGTAACCATGAGTTGAATTCAGATTCCTGATTCTCAATGAAAGATTTTTCTGCCAAATATAATCTATAATCAATATGTTGGGACTCGCTTCTCCCCCTTTATAAATCTAATTTCTGATATACCAAGTGACACATGATTGGTTAAATGAGTGTTTTTCTAATGTAAAACAGAAAGAAAAAAAATCTGAATGACCATACTTGTTTTGAAGGTGTAACTTTTAGAGGTTGCAGTTGATATTGCTTGCCTTAGAACAGTCTGGAAAACCAATCTTGGTCCACCTGTTATACCATCTTCAACACTTGGTCCACTTGTTATAATATTGTATATTTGTATTGCGTGTGTTTTATGTTAACATTTGCGATTAATGTTTATGGTTATTAAGCGTGTTTGGGCATGGAGGAATTATATACGTTAAAATTTATTATATTTGATTTTGATGTTTATGTCTATATTAAAAAGTTGCAGCGCATAGCATATTATATAGGTTGGATGAGGTTTATGTGGTCTTTTCATTGTATGTTTTTTTTAGATAATTCTAGATCCATAATTGGTTGGTTAAATGTGATTTCCTATATTTTGGGCTATGAAAAATGAGTTTGTGGGTCTTATGATTATCATTTGTATGAATGGTTTGGGGTTTAGAGATTGCATTTCATAACGGTTTATGATAGGTTAAACATGATATTGAAGAGGTGAATAAAATAATGTAAACGTAACATAAAATAAGTAGCTACTGTTGAAGTTAACCAAGAGTGACAGGATGTGTTACCTGGCCAAAGTTACTTGTGTTATAATTAAGAAATGTCCATCCTAAGCTAGTGATTTGTCCGCACTGAAATATGCCATATTTGGTATTTGAGTTTAACCATTTGTCGTAAGCTTTTGTTGGTTTTTTGCTAGCTTAGTATTTGAAAATTTGAAAATAATGTTTGTGTGAATGTGTTTTGGTTTTTTAAAACTTTTGCTTCGGAACGTGATTTGTAGAGGAAAAATCTAAGGAAAATTTGATAGTGTAAAAGTTTGAACAATGGTTATTCTATTTTTGTGAGTTTCGAGTTTTATCCTTGAAAGTGTTAAATTTTATTGCTGTTTAAAAACATGTAAAACTCGAATAAAAATATTTTAAATAAAATTTATATGTCAGAATTGTATAATTTTAGTTCTTAAATATCTTAAAATATTATTATAAACTGAATTACCAAAATCTAAATTATTTTTGGATTATTAACTAAAATATTCAAATTGTTCAAATCACTCTTTTTTTTAATTTTAAAAATTAAAATATCTGATATTTAACCTAAAAACTCGAATTAGCTTACTTTTTATCTATATTATCTAAAACTACCGAGGAAATTAGGATCAAATTGGATTTAAACCTTTTTGTCGTATATTAGACAGTTTTCAATTTTGCTACCCAAGCTAAAACAAAAATCAAAATACTTGAATTAAAATTGAACCGAGTTTTGTAAGTCTAACGCCAAACCTAACTCAAGGACCAAAAACCAAATTATTCGAAGTCTAACGCCAAACCTAACTCAAGCCGACAACGGCTTGTACCACTTCCATCTTCCTGCTCATTTTCCTCGTTTTACACGCCTCATAGATCATCTTCTCCACTCAGTCGCTCTCCTCTCTTCACTAACCTCAGATTGTCCTCTATTTTCTCTCCCATTCAACCTCGGCCTCCTCCTTCACCTCTTGGATCCAGACTTATGCCGCCGCGCTCGTGTCTCCTTGAACTTTGCTCTCGTCGTCTCCGGCACTGGCTTCTGCTATGCGGCTGTGTTCTGCTTGTTGACTGAGTGATTGGGAGAATGGGTTTAGAGTGTTTGTGATTGGGTTGCTTTACGCGGTGCTCTTCGTTCTCAAGCTGAGATGGGTGTTAGAGTTCCCAATCATTAAGGTTTGTTTTTCTGTGATTCTTGATTTGTTGTTATCTTCTCTGATTCGTAATTTTTTTGATCCACTCAGTGTCCACCAGTCTGCAGCTTCAAGATTGCTCTCCCCTCGGCGTAAACACAACCTCTGAAGTTATCAGGTGTGCTTATGTTCTGTCAACGATAATGCTGTTGTTTCTGTTAGACTGGTCGGGTGGGCTTGTGTCGGTATCGAGGTTCTTGGGTGAGCAGGTAAGTTCTTATGGTTGTAGTTTTTGTTTGATTCTCTCTAGGGAAGTGACTCACCATATATATCAGGCTTGCCCATTTGCTTGCACTTGTTTTTGTAGTTTTGCATATTTGGTTTGCTTGGTGATATAACCAATTAGATTGAATGTATAGAGATCCATGTTAAATTTTAGTGAACTTAGTTATAGGCAACATGTAGATTGTGGAAGAGTAAAATCTCACTATTACTCAAGTGTTGCAAAACACAATTGAGAAGAATATGAATACCAGCTGCAAGTTAGTTGTTTGAATTAAGTATTTTCTTTAGTGTTTAAGTCTTCATGTCAAATACACTTGCTGCCTTGATCTGATTAGTTCTATTGTCAGACATCCTTCTGTTGTTAGCAATCTGATGAAGGAATTTTATTAAATTTGACTTACCTTTTAGCCTTTAGTGAAAAGAAACTGCGACTTTTTGGGTCTATATGACAATTTGTTTTGTTTTGTTTATGATTATGTCCTCTGGTTAAAGGTCGAGCTTTTTGTTCACGTAAGTGAATGAATCTGCAAGGTTCTTACTTTCATTTCGTTTCGTGGATATAACTTTTATTTTGTGTAATTGCAGTATTAACTCCAGTTTGTCCTATGAAGACTGGAAAAAGCATATAAAATTGTCTGAGCACAACAGTTACCACCTGAGCACAACAAAAGTCTTAGAATCTTCAAAAGAGGAGTTACGCTTGTTGCATCCAAATGATTCTCAGATTGTGGTCATGAAGCACATAGTATGGTGTCAAAGGAAATTATGTTCTCGCAAGCACAAAACACAAAGTATGGCGTGTCACCGCCACATAAGGGGCCTCCCAAAAACTCAACAACAGGACTTTCGATAGTGTTTTTATAGCTTCAGGCTTTCAAGTCGCGGACAGAAGAGAAGAGGTTGATATCCATGGTTAGTGGGTTCCTTTGGATTATAGTGATTGAGATGGAGGGTGATGCATATCAACACACCAGTCTCTATTTTTATGGGTGTGGATTCGTATCCACAAACGAAGGAGAGGGGGACGTAGTGGAAGGCGTGAATCAATGACGTTATCGCGAAGGTGACGTTAATGAAGCGCTGCGTTTAGTTTAAGAATGACATGTGTCATATTCTCCTTGACTCATTTACTGACGTGGCACTCCCATGAGGGAATAAACATTACTTTATATATATAGATTTCATTTACAAATTACTAATATTGTGTGTTTTATGGTCAACACAAAGGATAGTGAACATAATACATTGTTGATCAACATATAAATAACTAAATATTAATTATTTTTATTGACAAAATGATGTAATCTTAGTAGGGGACTTTATTTACCTATGTGTGTCTTTATTGTTGTAGGAATATATCTTAAACGCCAAATTACATGTGGTGAAAGTATAGTTGTTCGGATAACCATTGAAATTTAATTATAAGCTCTATTTGAATATTATTTTAGTCTGCGTAGAGCTTATTTATTAATACAAAACCGATTTTGCAACCACACTTATATCAGTTTTGGGTTATTTATGCTTGATTCATATATTTTAAATATCATATCAAACTAAGCACAAAATTCAGTATTTCAATATTTGTTATACCTATTTTTAGATATTATATCAAAATAAATATTAAATTTCATATTTCAGATACTTATTTAACTGTCAGATATATTTTTTAAATACTAAATCAGATATTTTGATGAGAATCTGCATACTTTTATTTTTATCAGATTTCCAAATTAATAGGATATACGTTTAGATTTAGCTAATAACTAGATTTTGATCCGTTCAACCGCGCAGATGTTTATTATCACTTTTATATACATAAATATTTGTTTTAGAACATAAGTATTATATAGTTTTAACGTTAATCATATACTTAGATGTTTATGTAACTATTTCAAATACACTAATTTTAACATTTACATGTTATATTAATCGATTATTTAAAACCATATTTATTTGTCACTTCTTATTATATATATATATATATATATATATCTTGTTGTATTTGCATTTAGTTATTAAGAAAATTAATATATTCATGAGAAAATATATTTGAAAATCATTTTGTATTTAATTTATGGTAAATTCTGACATGTCCTTCAAAGTTGGATTTTTTTTTACCAATTTTTTATATTTATTCATTTTAGATAATATATTACTGTATATACAAAAATCTAAGATATATTAATTTTTAGACATATATTATATAGTTTTCTAATTTTTATGCCATACTGTCATCATATTATATTTTTAAAATAAAAATTTTATATTTATGAATTTTTTTATAAACTTATCAATTTAATATAATTTTATCATATTTTGTTAAATAGAATAAATCTCTTATAACATGATGATTATGACTATAAATTAAATAAAATAGGATATAATTTAAACTTTCATTCTATAAACGATAACTTAAAATACATTAAGTTATTGAAAAATATTTTTACAAGATTTCTTAGAATTTTAAAAAATTTGATATATATATATATATATATTAAATGAAAAGATACCATCATTAATGTAGTTACAAAAAAAATATATCATTAGCTTTAATGAAATACATGTTAATTTATATACATGTATTATATAGTTTGATAATGTTAACCCGTCTTACCAACATATTAGATTTTATTTCTGAAAATAAATATTTTATACTTACAAAAGAAATTATATAAATTTATAAATCTAATACAATTTTATAATATTTAGCTCAATATAATAATTTTATTTTAATATGATTGACTATGATTATATAATAGATAATATGATATACTGTTTTCTTTTTCATTTTATAAACTTTACCTGAATATATTAATGTATAATAATATTTTAAACTATTTGCTAAATTAGTGAAAATATTTAAAGATAATATCGAAAATTGAGATCTTGTAAAAAAATTTAAACAGATTTGTTAGAATTTTTAAATAAATGTATTTATATTTAAATGAAAAGATATCAAAAGAGATTATGATTAAAGTATTTTGATTCTAAATATTATTAGTTTTAATAAAATATATTTAATAAAATTTCTAAGTGATGGTTCAAATTAAAAAAAAATTACACATGAAATAAAGTCATGACTTATGTTTTAATATTTAAGATATTTCGGATTTGAATACATTCTATATGGCTTTATAAAATCCATTCATTTACTTTAGCATATTAGATCAAATTCTAATTCAGAATTTTGCTTCGGATTTGGTTTGAGTTTTGGGTTTTCAACTTTTTTTTTTCTTAATTTTTCTCTCGAAGAGCAGTAGGTCCTTTCTTGCTGGATTATGAAGTCAAAAGTTCATGGTGATGTAGAAATAGTCTCTAATCATTTGGATAGAGGAAGCTGTGTCATGTGGCTTGCCATGAGCATCAGTTTATGTAGTAGTCAGGAGACTTTCCGAGAGATAGATCAAAAAGCATTCTTGCTTTGTTTTTTCATCTTCTCACAGTCTCTTAAGTTCCATTTTACCCACATTGTATGGGGTTATTATAAAGATGCCTACTGTTATTTTTTTTGAGCTTTTGTTACTGGTCTGTTTGGCTCAGAATTATAAGAATATTTTGGATTTTGGATTGAATTACAAGTGTTAAAAGAAAACAAAAAAGTTTTTTTTTCCAAGCTTAACAGTGATTATTTTGTCATCCAGAAATTATATTACAAAACTCATTTCAAGTTTATAGAAAATTATTAATCATATCAATCACAAATTGTTGATGGAGGCCAGAAAATACCAAATTGGTACGCAAGCATAAATAGAATAAATGAAATATGAATATATATATATATATATAGTAAACATAAGTGGATTTTGAAAGGATAGATTTAGTGTAATACCTAAAATCGAAGCTTAAATTTAGGGTCTATCCATTGATGGACATTAGTGGTCCAAACCGTACAATTATGCTTGGAAATGTCCAAAATGTTTTTTTCAACAGACACACTTTTTGTTGGTTACAGAGAAGTGTCAGGAGAGAGAATGTTCACATGTTTGCTAGATTTTTTTAATGCTAAAAATATTATCAAATAATAGTATTTTCAAAAATATAATATAAAAATATTATAATAGATAAAACAATTTAGTATTTGATATAATTGAAAACATAAATTACAATTAATTACAAGATTTCAACATCTCTAAAATCTACAAATTGTTATAAATTCGATATTGGTGTTAGATTAATTGTTAGCGGTTAACGCATTTGTTAACTGATACATATTTTGTTACCTGATAAATATACTCAGTTCGAGAGACAAAATTGAAACTTCGACAATATTTATTTGTTAACATATATTACCTAACGCATGTATTAACATCTACAAATTTGTTAACAACTAACACCTCTGTTAACAATTATGGTACATATATTTGTTAACAGCTAAGACATTTGTTAACATCTATAAAATTTGTAAACAGCTAATGCATCTGTTAATACAACATATACATGTATTTGTTAACATCTAACACCGCATTATTTTCTTTATATAGTATTAACAATACATCTGTTAAATTATATATATCAAATAATATTTTGAAACCTAAAGATAAAAACTATTTCATCAGATAAAGAAAAGAACAAAAATTAGAAGAGAGAATGACAAAAGAAAAAATGATGAGAGAGTTTAAAGGTGGAAAATAAGTGGAATCGAAGGAAAGAGAGAGAGTGTCAGGAGAGAAAATGGTGGGTGAATAGGCAGAGAGAACGATGGGCATTTTGGTCAAAAATTCCAAAGGAGTCACATCGAGTGTAAACTGCTAATTAGGGAGTCGAATTGTGGTGTCTTAGCAAATTATCTTTTTTGTTTTAAAAAACAAAGGGGACGACTATTTAGACTGTAGCTAGAGAAATTTTATTGTAGAACTTTTTGATGCAGATGTATCAAATATAGTTATTAAAATTAAATGAGAAAAAAATGGAAAGATATTCTTACAGCATTCTTACAATTGTATTTTTTACTTTAGAAAATAAGGTTCTTACAACCAATTTTTTTTTGTTTTAGTTTTAAAAATTACTTAAATCATTATTGATAATTTATATGGTTGTAGATAGAAAATAAAATTAAATCCACTAGTTAAAATCTAACCAATCACCCCCAAAATCAATGTATTTTATGGTAATGGTTGGCCAGTGCTTTAGAAATGTTTTCCCTTCAAAATTTCTACAGATTTTTCTTAAAGCATAAATATCTTTTAGTCATGCTTCAGTATTTTTTTAAACGTACATTTTTCCTTTGATTTTTTAAAACAGGGAAATATCTAGAGCACTTATATATTGGCTTTAGAAAAGTATATAATTAAATCTTCTTAAACCTACAACCAAAATTCTATGGCACATACATATATATATATATATATATATATATATATATATATATATATATATATATATATATATATATATATATATATATATATATATATATTCTACGTCAAAAATCGACAATATTAATACTAAAACAAAATAATATAAAGCTACAACTAATTCCAGTTAAGCTCATTATTTATTCTTTTTGACAACATAAAATCTACATTATATAGATTGTAATTTACATGTGAAAACTCTCTTAGTCTAGTGGTTTAACAAAAGGTTCACTAATACTTTGTACACTAAGATGTCTGAGTTTTGAATCCTAGAGAAAAGAATTAGCAGAATATTTGAGAAAAAAAATATTCGTAAAAAGTATAGTAAATAGTAATGAAATCAAACATGTATCCTTATGAAGAATGCAAAAATATCGGCTCTAGTATTATCTATGTAATGTTTCGTATAATTTATAATATCATAATTAATTAACGTTAAAAAGGTTACACGAGTTTAGACATGGAATTGACACAGTCTCAGAGCCTCGAGTTACATACAATATCGAAATATAGTGTTTCTTCGATGGGTTCTTAATTAGAATTTAAAACATAAATGCACAAAACACTATAGATTTAATTGATAACCACCATAGGAACATTAGAAATAAATAGAGAAAAAAAAAGTTGAAGAGTAAAATTATAAGAATGATGAGAAATGATCTAATTTAGTGAAAAAATATTTATTCTATATTCTTCTATAATAAAAAAATGAGAAGGAATTGAAATTAAAAACAATTCCTTTTAAATGGTAATTTTTAGTAAGATTTTTGAATACATTATTCTCTTTCATTATTTGGTCACCAATTACATCCTGTAAAGAATAGAAGCCAAGCTATGCAATTCATCTAACAAAAAATGGGCGACAACTAACAATCAAATAAGTTTATCGTAAATCATCATGGTTTGTGATTGCGTTAGGTGTAATGCATATGGCCGGGTGAGCCTAGTACTAAAACAATTACTAGTAGACAATTATAGTATGGGAATTAATTTGATCAAAAATATATAGTATGGTAATTAATTTAAAAATTATTTTCTGATTTTTCAATAGTATTAAATCTATTAAATATCAAGATTTCAATTCGAATAATTGTAAATTTATATATACGAGATTATCCAAAGATTATTATAGCACATATGATGGTTACTTATCCTTATATATTTAGACTAAGTTATGATCTGCGACTTGCATGAAATATATTTCATAGAAATATTTTTGCGCATACTATTATTTATTTTACATTTTGACATATTGTAAATAATAATAATTCATAGATATTGAATCATTGAGAAACATATAACTATCACATATATAACTAATTGACGTGAACACATAAACAAAAATAATCACTCTTTTTATTTATAATCATTTTATGATAAATAAATCAAAACAATCATATGTATCTATTTTATGGTATACTAGGGGAAACCCGCGCGAATATGTTTTGGTTGTTTATTCTAAATGGTTAAAGATGCTCTTCTTTATATGGAGAAAGAACAAAAAAAAGGTATAACTTTTGTTAAAAAATCATATGTTAAAGATGCTCTTCTTCCTCTGTTCTTCTCATTCATCTCTGTGTTTTTTTTTATTCTAAATAAATTAATGGTTCTTCTTTTTAATGGTCTAAGCAATTCCAGGACCACATCAAATTCTGTCATGACCAATCATGGAAATGGATGATGAAAAAAATCTCTTAGATCACAAAACGTCCTGATGTTCATCTAAATATGGAAAAAGTATGGTCTTAATGAAAAGAAAACTGATATAAATTGTATTTTATAATGCATAGATTTAATTCGCAGACAACATCGCAACAATTCTTCAGTGTATTATCCAACAAAACTATCTTACGCTGCAACTTCTTCAACCTTTGAAAAAGGATCAGGGGTTGATGCGCTTTTCATATTTTGTTCAATGTTCAGATGGTGATTCGGGAGGGTGATGAAACTGCGGATCAGAAGGATGAGAAGGTTGGGAAAGGGCCTGAGGGAGAGTGGGAAACAGAACCAGAGCTGGATTTTGAAAAACAGAAGGAGAAGGAGGAGGAGCAGAAAGCTTTGAAGGAGAAAGAGATGATTAATAGTGCTGTGTACAAGGAGAGAGAGATACAGAAAAAAGAAGAGGTGAAGCTTTTAAGAGGGAAGCTGCTGAGGCAGGGAGGAAACGCGCAGAATAATAAGAAGTAGAGGCGGCAGAGTGTTAAGCTGCAGAGAGTGAAGCTGCTGACTTAGAATGAGCCAGGAGAGAGCAATTCCTCTTGACAGAATGTCGAAAGGACCTGATGATAAATAGTACACATATTATAAGAATATTTAATTCGGTTAAATTGAACCAGTTAAAATAGAATCAAACCGAAATAGAGAAAGTGGTTGGATTTGGTAATATCAAATAAAACAAACGAATATATTAAATATAGTAGTATAACAACATGTAAATTAATAATATCATTAATAATATATCCAATTTTTATATATGATCTTCATATTTTAATATATTGATTTACACAATTTTATAATTTTTAAGTTCAAAATTCTTTTTTTTTACTTTTATAAAATTAAGTAAATTTTTTTTTCTTTTTTGGTGACAAATATTTGTACTAATATTTATTATTAATAATATTATGCAATTATAAAATTTTAATTAAATAACTTTATTATCAATTAAAAATTTAACTAATATATAATATTTTAAATAAAATATTCTAAAAATTTGAACAAAAAAAACAATAAATTAATTAAAAGAAATTTTATACTCCAATTTTGATTTTGAAAAAAAATGTAATATATCGTTATCTGAACATTATTGTAGTTTACCAATACATTTACAAATTAACTTTAGATTTTTTTTTTTTGTTGAAATATCAGAAATATATTAATGTAGTGGAATGTCTGTTTACTTGATGGTGACAATAAGACTTAGATATTATAATAGTGAAAATGCGATTTAAACGCCTCTCAAAAAAAATTAATATAGATTTATTGTATTACATAAATTGAATTGAAACACTTTACTATATATTGAAATATATGGAACTTTATATATACAGATTTAAACAAATAGTTAGGTAACGTATACCTTTTTTCCGATAACACCATAAGTATTATTTTTATTTATATCTATTAAAACAAGAAAATTTATTCTATTAAATTTTATAATATGTTATATGGTAAAGTTATAATTATTCTTCATAATTCGTAACAACTTGGTCATATGTGTTAGTAAAATTAACCACTCAGTGTTAAAATTACAAATATACTCTTTACTGGAACAACTAGAATGGCGTACATTCATGGTAGGGTTTTTGATTATACTCATATATATATATATATATATATATAAGATATTAAGTATATTAATGTAATGAAATATATGTGTATTTGGTTGTTACAATAAAACTTAGATTGTATAAAAGACTAATCAACGGTCATGTAATGTTGGGTTAATAGTGAAATTCGATTTAAACGCCTCTCAAAAATAAAATTAAAAAAACTGTTCTGATTTTCATGTTAATGCATATCATCTACACTATAATTTGTAACTGAATAGATATAGGAAATTCCACAGAAATATTAATACCTTTCAACACCAAATTAAAACTGTTAAATGGCTCAGTATTTAACGTCAAACTTTTCTTTGAATTATATAAATACCTATACATAAAACAGAGTCTTAACATACAAATTATCCAATTACAATGAACACCGAACCGAATTATGCCCTCTCTTTCGACTACTACACTAAAGAAGCAACAACAGTTCCAAAAAGGGAAATCATCGTCAACATAAAACGTGAAAATACTAACCAAACATGTATTTCCTTTATGATAGGATTTTTGACCACTGCTCTCAGGTATCTCACTGATACAACAACCAACGTCATGCAACATCTGCTCATATATCATGACATCACACTCAACGCGGCGAGAAGTATCATAGAAAGTACTAATGACCACGTGTACAACGTTGTCTCCAATCTGACTGATCATCAAGGTACAGACCTTCATGTGATAGTTAGTACTTGTATCAAGGTACAGACCTTGATCATCAATATTATATATTTCTGTGGATTTTCATTGTGTACGATGTTGTCTCCAATCTGACTGATCATCAAGGTACAAACCTTCACGTCATGCAACATCTGCTCACATATCATGACATCACACTCAACGCGGCGAGAAGTATCATAGAAAGTACTAACGACCACGTGTACGACGTTGTCTCCAATCTGACTGATCATCAAGGTACAGACCTTCACGTGATAGTTAATACTTGATGATCAGTCAGATTGGAGACAACGTCGTACACGTGGTCATTAGTACTTTCTATGATATTTCTCGCCGCGTTGAGTGTGATGTCATGATATGTGAGCAGATGTTGCATGACGCCGGTTGTTGTATCAGTGAGATACCCGAGAGCAGTGGTCAAAAATCCTATCATAAAGGAAATACATGTTTGGTTAGTATTTTCACGTTTTATGTTGACGATGATTTCCCTTTTTGGAACCGTTGTTGCTTCTTTAGTGTAGTAGTCGAAAGAGAGGGCATAATTCGGTTTGGCGTTCATTGTAATTGGATAATTTGTATGTTAAGACTCTGTTTTATGTATAGGTATTTATATAATTCAAAGAAAAGTTTGACGTTAAATACTGAGCCATTTAACAGTTTTAATTTGGTGTTGAAAGGTATTAATGTTTCTGTGGAATTTCCTATATATATTCAGTTACAAATTATAGTGTAGATGATATGCATTAACATGAAAATCAGAACAGTTTTTTTTTTTTAATTTTAATTTTGAGAGGCGTTTAAATCGCATTTCACTATTAACCCAACATTACATGGCCGTTGATTAGTCTTTTATACAATCTAAGTTTTATTGTAACAACCAAAAACACATATATTTCATTACATTAATATACTTAATATCTTATATATATATATATATATATATATATGAGTATAATCAAAAACCCAACCATGAATGTACGCCATTTTAGTTGTTCCAATAAAGAGTATATTTATAATTTTAACACTGAGGGGTTAATTTTACTAACACATATGACCAAGTTGTTACGAATTATGAAGAATAATTATAACTTTACCATATAACATATTATAAAATTTAATAGAATAAATTTCATTGTTTTAATAGATATAAATAAAAATAATACTTATGGTGTTATCGGAAAAAAGGTATACGTTACCTAACTATTTGTTTAAATCTGTATATATAAAGTTCCATATATTTCAATATATAGTAAAGTGTTTCAATTCAATTTATGTAATACAATAAATCTATACTAATTTTTTTTTGAGAAGCGTTTAAATCGCATTTTCACTATTATAATATCTAAGTCTTATTGTCACCATCAAGTAAACAGACATTCCACTTCACTAATATATTTCTGATATTTCAACAAAAAAAAAACCTAAAGTTAATTTGTAAATGTATTGGTAAACTACAATAATGTTCATATAACGATATATTACATTTTTTTTTTCAAAATCAAAATTGGAGTATAAAATTTCTTTTAATTATTTTATTGTTTTTTTTGTTCAAATTTTTAGAATATTTTATTTACAATATTATATATTAGTTAAATTTTTAATTAATAATAAATTTATTTAAATTTTATAATTACATAATATTATTAATAATAAATATTAGTACAAATATTTGTCACCAAAAAAAAGAAAAAATGTTTTACTTAATTTTATAAAAGTAAAAAGAAAGAATTTTGAACTTAAAAATTATAAAGTTGTGTAAATCAATATATTAAAATATGAAGATCATATATAAAAATTGGATATATTATTAATGATATTATTAATTTACATGTTGTTATACTACTATATTTAATATATTCGTTTGTTTTATTTTATATTACCAAATCCAATCACTTTCTCTATTTCGGTCTGATTCTGTTTTAACTGGTTCAGTTTAACCGAATTAAATATTCTTATAATATGTGTACTATTTATCATCAGGTCCTTTCGACATTCTGTCAAGAAGAATTGCTCTCTCCTGGCTCATTCTAAGTCAGTAGATTCACTCTCTGCAGCTTAACACTCTGCCGCCTCTACTTCTTATGCTGCGCGTTTCCTCCCTGCCTCACCAGCTTCCCTCTTAAAAGCTTCACCTCTTCTTGTTTCTGTATCTCTCTCTCCTTGTACACAGCACTATTAATCATCTCTTTCTCCTTCAAAGCTTTCTGCTCCTCCTCGTTCTCCTTCTGTTTTTCAAAATCCAGCTCTGGTTCTGTTTCCCACTCTCCCTCAGGCCCTTTCCCAACCTTCTCATCCTTCTGATCCGCAGCTTCATCACCCTCCCGAATCACCATCTGAACATTGAACAAAATATGAAAAGCGCATCAACCCCTGATCATTTTTCAAAGGTTGAAGAAGTTGCAGCGTAAGATAGTTTTGTTAGATAATACACTGAAGAATTGTTGCGATGTTGTCTGCGAATTAAATCTATGCATTATAAAATATAATTTATATCAGTTTTCTTTTAATTCATTAAGACCATACTTTTTCCATCTTTAGATGAACATCAGGACGTTTTTGTGATCTAAGAGATTTTTTTCATCATCCATTTCCATGACTGGTCATGACAGAATTTGATGTGGTCCGGGAATTGCTTAGACCCTTAAAAAGAAGAACCATTAATTTATTTAGAATAAAAAAAAACACAGAGATGAATGAGAAGAACAGATGAAGAATAGCATCTTTAAAAAAATCATATCGACTCTATTTGTTTAAATGTTCTCTTTCCAGATTGGAGAACAGATGTCGATCGATAAGGTAAATAGTTAAATTTTAATGAAATTAAATAAATCATACATAAATATTACATTTTTAATTTCATTATCATTTAAATAAGACATTGTACTCATATGCTTGTATGAGTATTTGTATTTTTAAAAAAAAAACAAAATTTCCAACTGCTAACAATAAAAATTTCGATGTAAAACTTTTAATAATTTTAATGATTTCTAATCGTATTTAAATATCCAATTCAAATTGAAAAATTAAATTATTAAGTTTCCAATACTTGTTCAATGTAAATTTAAGAACTAAAATATTTATTTTATATGGTATATAGTTAATTTAAATAATAGTAAATATATATATATATATAATTTTTAATATGAATATTTATTAAATAAGATTTTGTATTCATATAGTTCTATGATAATTTGTATCTTGTTACAACAAAATTTTATACCATTAACCATAAAAAAATTAATGTGAAACTTTTAATAATTTTAGTAATTTAGTTATATTTATATGAAAATATAGCAGTACGAAAAATCTAATTTTATTATATAGTGAATATGATTTCTAGTTTATTTAATAATATAAATTTGACAAAATATAGAATAAAAATTTTTACCTAATATTTATTATTCAAAACTATTTGACAATATAAATTGTGATCCTATTAGATAATTATGTAGCTTTTCTTTAATGAAAGAAGAAATAAATCATTTTTGTACATAATAATTATTTTTTTGGTTAGTTTAATAAAATATATATTACTAGGTGATTTTCCCGTGCTCATGCACGGACATGTATATTTATAAAATAAATATACAATAATAATTGATTGATATTTAATTTATTTTTAAATTAATTTATAGTTTGTATGTCTAATTTATATTATAATATTATATTAATTTAACTATATAAATAATTTTAGATATGTTATATTTAGTCTGTTTTATTGTTTTTACGGTCGATTTAGTTATCATTTAGATATATTGGATTCTATCTATTTCTCTGAATTCAACTATAATCTTTTATATTTTAAATATATTAAATTTTTGATTAATTGTCTTCTTTTCATTTATGTTGGTTGTTATTATAGAAATATAATTATATTTAGTAAGATTATATATAACTTAAGATTTTTTTGTGCTTAGAAGGAAAAAATAAATAAAAACTAAAGTGTCTAATTCTAAATTACATACATAAGTAACTAATGAATTTTTAGAAGCTTTTGAACTCATATCAATATTTACAATAATTAAAATATTTTTTAAATTCTAAATAAATTTATGCTTTAGATAGATTAGATGGTAAACTGAAATTTATTTAAATAATTTTAAAAATAAGGATTTTGCTTAAGTATTTTGACTATGGTTATATTAAGTTTCACAAACATAAAAATAGAAAATTAATAATCAAAAGATTTATCAAGAAAACATATAATTTTAACTATTAAAATATAATATATCTACCTCGTTAAATTACATAGTGTTATGATATTTTAAAATAATTGTAGTTATTTTCTGTTTTTATGTTTGTGAAACTTAATATAACCATAATCAATATACTTAAGTAAATCAGGATCCTTATTCTTAAAACATATAATTTTAACTATTAAAATATAATATATCTACCTCGTTAAATTATATAGTGTTATGATATTTTAAAATAATTGTAGTTACTTGATCAAAAGATGTTTATTATTAAATTTATTTTTAGATTTATTTCTAGCATCTCTTAAAATATTCAGTAAAAACTGATTATTTTTGAGAAATTATACTATATAAGTAAAATAAAATTTATTTTTTTACTGTAATTGTAAGATATTATAGTCAAACAAATTTACTAAAAAAATAATTTCAATAATACTAATTATAAAAAAATATCAATTAAACATATATCAGTTTATTTTAGTTGATTATTTTATGTAATCATCTAATAAAATAGATAGATATATACAAAAATAATTATTTTGAAAATAAATAAATTTTATTGTTTAATATTATTTTTAAAGAAAAAATATTTCTTTTTCTAACAGTAATATTTTTTGTGTGAACTTTTTTTATGAAATCACACTATATACATATATTGTTTTTTTATCTAAGAAGATATAGATATAAAGTATTTTATTACTTCAAAGGTATATTTTATGTTATTTAAAATATATTTAAATTAAATATTACTATTTTGTGAACTTTCCTTTTTTTTCATTAAACCATATTATATATACTTATCTTTTCGTTTTTAAATAGTTTGTAAATTTTATAAATGATTCATTTTTATTTTAAATTGTTATTTGGAAATTTTTAAAAAGGAAATAATATTTAATTGTATTTTAATTCATTAGGGGTATCATAGTAATCAACCAACGTGAGAGTTAACGTGAGCGCGACACCTAAGAAAGTGACTTCTCAAATAATATTATAGAGATATGTTTAGACGGATCAACTTAATTCTCTAGTAATTCTATGAATCATTATGGTGATGATACGGATAATAGTTCAAAGATTGTAAATTCTTATCTTTCTTTTTTTGTAACACACAATTGTAACTCTTCTCTTTTAATATATAGGGGATATCATTTTCTAATTTATACTCTTCAAAAAGGTAAATATTCTGAATTTAATTGTTCTAAAAATTTAATTTTTTAGTTAGTTATGATAAATTGTAAATTTTCTAATTAGTTAAGTTTGTTGAATTACTTATATAAATTCTAAATGTTAAAATATTAAAATAATGACAAAAGTTAATATAGGGAAATTATTAATACTGTGTACCTTTATTTATAGTTAGGATATATAGAATTTCCTACAGTTAATAAAAGGGGTTAGAGTAGCTAGGAAGATCCATAGTTAGCGTACGGCGTTGGGTTCTGGTAGACAGACGCCATTATTAATTATGACCCAAAGACCTCCTTCGATCTAATCCACGGAACACAACACAACACTTACACACACATCCTCATAATCTAATCAACTTGTTTTGCTTCTTTTTAGTACTCTAAATTTTTATTAGTAAAATTCTGGGACCATTATTATTATAACCTTTTCTGATTTAGATTACAACCTGTTTTCCTTATTTTTAAATTTATACTCCTTTTTCTAAGCATGTTCAAATTTTAAAGTTTGATCTTCATAAAAAGATGTCACTGGTACTTTCAGCACAAAATTGCGACTTAAATATTAACTATCACTAAATGTACAAGAGTAAAATATATAAAGATGAAGTGTTGCTTAATAAATATAGTTTTAAGAAATAATTATGCATATGTAACAAAATTTTATGTACTTAAAAAGCATAACAAAATACACAACTTGATTAGTGATGTGGTTGTAACTGTGTAAAAAAGATTAACATATATGAAATTACTAAACTCAGAGATTCTTCTATTGCTAATACCTAAATTGAAAAAGTCTACATCTATTCCTGATTGCATAATTGATAAAAACTGCATAGTAATTGTTGTAATGTGTAAATATAAAAATTGTAAACTGATATTTTTTGGGTCAAACAAAACTGATGTTTGGTAAAGTTTGTGATTGGTAAAAAATTACAGATACAAATATATAGAATTACTCCGCAATTACAAGATATAATAAAAATTATAGCAAAATTAATAGAATTGTTCTTATAAAGGCTACCAACATAATGTTTCTTGTCTTTGTTTGATTTTGAAAGGGAGATACGAAAGGTGGTAGTGAGAAGTCACTATTAAACTTTGTACAATCTCAGACTCCGCTTGTTACCAATGGCTTCGCTTCCTCTCGTGATTTACCTTTTTCCCATCCCCCTTATTTATTTGTCTGTCTTTTGCTTTTTAATTTTTAATTTTTACCACACATTGCTTTCTTTCACTATCGATAAAGAGCATGAATATTTTTCATGTATGTGTTTTTTTATCAAATAATATGTATGCGTTAAAAGTAAAAACTCTTACTCTGTTAACTGCAACTAGGGCGGTAGGAACGTAGTAAGCATAACAGCAGTTTAATACACCATTAAAAAAAGTCTCATTCCCCATTATGTTATAGCTTAACAAAGTTAGCGTTTTACTTGTACTATTATTAATACTGTAAAGAAGTTTAAGCATGTAAATATCACCGTCAGACATATATTATTTTCTTATTTGACCCATTATTAAATATCAATGTATCCAATGTTAATTTATCATACAGTTCTTTAGTAATAACTATACAGGTTGTTGTTAACCAAAAAACTATACTGTTTGTTCCACAATTATTATAAAAAGACTAATTTTTTATATGAGTCTGTTTGCATTTATGTATTTTGAGTATTAAAGTTTGGTACAATTTTTTCAATAGTTCTAGGAACACATTTACGTTTAAATCGGCTCCGTAGGCCTTAGTATGGGTATTAGCATATAAAGAAGCGAGAATTAAAATTGAAATGTTCATCAAGATCAAGATATTGTATTTAGATATCTCATTTAGAAAAGACCTTTATGGAACACACAAATAAAATAATAAACTAATTTAATAAAAAAACTAATAATACAAAAGCGCGAGAGTTTTAATAGAACGAGGTCTTATTAATAGTATATTTGTAATATTTATTGTTTATGTTTTTGCTTTTTCAAATATGTATGTCAGCTCGTTGACCAAATAGAGCTTCTCATTCGTCCACGTAGATTTTAGTCTGACATACGTGACCCCACGAGTGATTTTATATGATTGTTATATCAATTTGAATTATCCTTACCGTATATCATATTTATTGACAATTTAACAAGGGAAAACATATTCTATTATTTAATGTTTCAAACATTTTTTACTTGATGCAAGATCTAATACAATGATCCAATCTCGCTTAAAATGAAAATAGCAACGATTCCACAAAATAAAAGTTTTCCTAATTCTTAAGAACACATACCAGTGAAATAATTGAAACATGCTTATTAGTGTAATAAAAAGAATATTTACGTGTAGTATTTACTTGTAATCATCGATGCTCAAAACCGAAAGGTGACAGAAATAATTAATGGTCAACGATTTACCCACCACTGAAAACTCCAACACCACCTCAATATCGCGTACATCACACGCTCCAAACTAAAGCAACTATTAATCGCATCGGACGAACAGGGGTTGTAGAGAGTGTAGAACACATGCCACGAGTGCGTGAGTAAAGCTTTTCGTAATAATACGTATTTACCTCTTAATTCTTATAAATAAAAAACAACCATTCTTAATTAATTACCCTTATTTAATTCAATTTATACAGTATTTACTAGATCAAAACTAGTTAAAAATTGTAAAATTTTACATTTATGAGAAAGAAAAACACAAAAACAAAAAGCACTGTTTCGTCAATTTTCTCGCGCGCCAAACATCCGAATAATAAAAGACAAACAAAAAAAAGAGACAGAAAAAATTAATTAAAAATAAAAACAAAAAGAGGACAAGCGTGAGATTAAAACCCTTCACTTTCTTGGCATTTGTCTTCACTACTTTTCTCTCTCAGCAGTAGCATCCATAGGGTGAGAGCTCTAGAATGGCAGAATGAACAAAGTCCTCTCACAATCTCTTCTCCTCTCAAGAGGAAGATAAAAAAAAATGGCTTTAGAAGAAGAGGAAGAGGTCCAAAACGCACCGTTTTGTATGCTTTTCTGTGAGGAAGAGAGTCATGACCTCGAGGAAAAAGAAACCATTGTAAAGTTTCCGTCTTTCCATCCGGGTTTCCTCGACCATGACATGTCCTGGGACGAAGATGAGTTGTTAAGTCTGGTTTCGAAAGAAAACGAGTTAAACCCCTGTCTTTCCGACAGTGTCTTAGATGAGTTTCTTGTCCTGTGTCGCGAAAAGGCTATAGATTGGATCTTAAGAGTGAAAAGTTTTTATGGGTTTAATGCCTTGACGGCTCTTCTCGCTGTTAACTACTTCGATAGGTTTATTACGAGCAGGAAGTTTCAGACAGATAAGCCGTGGATGTCTCAGCTTACAGCTGTGGCTTGTCTGTCTTTAGCTGCTAAAGTTGAAGAGATCCGTGTTCCTTTGCTCTTAGATCTTCAAGTAAGTTTTTTGCTCTTATTCTCAGATTCAGTTTGTGTAATGTCGCGTGTGTGTTGAGGTTTTGTGTTGTTGTTGTTAAGGTGGGAGATGCGAGATATGTCTTTGAGGCTAAGACTATACAGAGAATGGAGCTTTTGATTCTCTCTACTCTTCAATGGAGGATGCATCCCGTGACTCCTATCTCGTTTTTCGATCACATTATGCGTCGATTCAGCTCTAAATCTCACCAGCAGTTGGAGTTCTTGAGTAGATGTGAATCTCTGTTGCTCTCCCTTGTTCCAGGTAATGCTTTGAGGTCATGATCTTCTTTGGATTCTTGATGCTGAATTGTGTTTGTTATTGGTTTTGTCAGATTCGAGGTTTCTAAGTTTTAGTCCTTCTGTGTTGGCCACTGCAATAATGGTCTCTGTTGTTAGAGATTTCAAGATGTGTGACGAAGCTGAATACGAATCTCAGCTCATGACTCTACTCAAAGTCAATCCGGTATGTGGTATTTATTATTAATCAATAATTTTTGGATTAGTAAATGCCAATGAAGTTAGTGTTAAGATCAAGAACTGATTCGTTTTTACTTAAACAGGAGAAAGTAAATAAATGTTATGAGTTGGTGTTTGATCACATTCCAAGCAAGAAAAGGATGATGATGAACTTGATGCAACCTGCTAGTCCAACCGGTGTATTTGATGCATCATTCAGCTCTGATAGCTCAAACGAGTCATGGGTTGCGTCTGCATCACCTTCTCAAGAGCCTCTATTCAAGAGGAGAAGAGTGCAGGAGCAGCAGATGAGTCTGTCTTCTTCAGTAAACAGAAGGTTTCTCGATGTGTTCACAAGTAGTCCTCGCTAATAATTTTAAGAAACATATTATGTTTTCCTCCCTGTTTTCACATATTATCCGGCTATATGGTAAGGCAGAAACATTATGTGTTTCACTCGGCTCTTGTGTTAATGGACGGTTTCAAATGGTGTACTCTTCAGTATTTGATAACTGAAAGATCTTTTTACTTGTTTCATGGGTTGAATAATTATCAAATTTCACCTTACATAATTTGCAATTGTCACACTCTTTATGTTGCTCGTCCTTTGTCTGAATAATCCACATGACATTATTAGTTATTTACTTAGTACAGTTTTGTCAAATGAATTAAAGAGACAACTAAAGAGTTGGTTGGACTAGTAGAACCAAATACACTCTTATTCAAATCATCTATTCATGGTTCCCTTCATAAGAACCATCATTATCATTGTGCTGCTTGTCCTTTGTCTGAAAAATCACATGACATTATTGGTTATTCACTTAGTACAGGTTTTAGAAATTTTCCATGGAATTAAAGAGACAACTAAAGAGATGGTTGGCCTTCTTAAACATTGCTGGCTTCTACAAAACATTTATTAATGGTTCCCATTTTTAGAGGTTTTGATTTGAAAGGATATGAAGTGAGACCAAACAATTAGGTTGGTTTGAGTACCTTGTTTCTTTTCAGTAGTGGTGAAAAGCAAAATGGTGTGGGGAAGATATGCACAGAACATACTTACACATATCTCTAATTATATTTGCAGTTGCTATGTCATGTCAAAACATTAAATAAAAATGCCTTTCCATGAAGAGTCTTGTTGTTACACAGAACCAAATAGCATTGAAGAGATTCAAACAAACAAATATTAATAAATTAAAGGAAAATAGAAGATTTTGGTTGGAAAGGAATGAATGTACCAGTCCAAAACCAAACCACTTAAAAGGACTGTTTGTTCTGTGACCTCAGAGACATTGTAAGTTTCTTGAAAGTAGTATTTCTATTACACTTTAGAAAATAGTATAATATTAGTAATATTTTCAAGAAAGAATGCAAAAAACACTAAATCTAACAGGCATACATAATAAAACGTTAGGCATTAATCTTTTTTCCCTTGAATGACTTTCATAAAATTTCAAAGATTAATCCGTGTATCAAACATTGGGTGTTTAACATTTCAAAGATTAATCAGTGTGTCAATTATTCGATGTTAAATAACTTACACTTAAAGTTATTCCTGCCCGAATCTCTCGCAAAACCCAATTGATATTAGACAGTAGAAACGCTTCTTTACATCAGCAACCAGTGGAAACATCGCATTATCATTTGATTTACAAAACGAAAGTTGTTACCATTATTAATGATTTTGACTTCATGAGTCCATGGAAAATCCAACGTTTGGTCTCTATCCATTATACCAATACATACTCTTTTGTGTTATATAGTACACCTTATCAGCTAAGGTGACTAAACCTTAGATTTTATCTGCTCCAACTTCCAAGGCAAGCCTGTAGCTGCACCATATGACGTTTTATAGTGAATATCGATAGATATTTCCCTGTGATCTTCTACCTAGAAAAAAATCAGAGATTCTCAAAATTATGAAAATCCTACTAATTTATGCCACTATATTTCACCAAAATCTGTTTTTTCTTCTTCTCAAAAGCTTTATATTATAGAGAGCGTGAGATCCCTCAACAATTTCCAGCTACGTTTTCTGAAAAGAAGATTACCTAAATATCAACCTCAGAAAGGTTAGTATTTGGTGTTTCAAAAAAAAAAGTTAGTATTTGACCGTTGGTTTCTAGTGATGTCATCCCAATTTTTGAACACATTTTGGGCCAAAAACAAGCGAAAGTAGATAGAGAAGGCCCATTCAGTCTCATTCGTTTTCATGCTAATGGATTCTGAACCGGTTTATATGCACACGTGCATGAGTAGGACACGCAGTGTCCTGGAATAAAACCAAACCGTGTGTGTTAAAGACTCGACGGACGGGAAATGCTTATCTTGTGAGCATCTTTTTAGTCGGCGAATAGGTGGCTGAGATTTAAATGGTTTCCTATCATCCGTCTAATGCCTTTTCCAATGAGACACCATAACACCAAATTTGGTGTAATTTCATCTTTAATAAAACACAAAAAATTATATCAGATTTGGTATTCATCACACCAAATATTAAAATAATGTATTTTATTATTTTTATTTAATTATAATAGATTAATTTTATTAATTTATTTTAAATTATAGTTAAAAATGGATATATCATATTATTTTGTATGTTTTATTTGTATTTTCACATTACTAAAGCATTAAACTGTTATTGTATTTATATTTTAATTAATAATACAACTAAATGACATAATAAAAATGATTTATACATATTAACTAAAAATAAAAATAACATATATAAATAAATATAAAGACAAAGTTACTTAATTTTTAACAAATAAAAAAATAAAGTGATAAATATAATTAGTCAATTATAAATAATAATGTATTAAAAATTAATAATATAAAATATTGTTTAGAATATTTGGTGTAGAATTTGATGTGATGGTTAGAGATGAAAAATAAAGTTTTAGTTCAGAGCAAGATGTTGGAGGAAGGCAAACGAGAAGGAGGAAGTAAATGAGGATCATGAGGTACTTCCTAGTTAGAGCTCCCTAGGATCCCCCAAATCCCTACATGCCAAAGTGATGCATCATAGACCGATAATGGTAGTGTCAGTGGCTTAGGGTGGAGTCTCAAGGATCAAATGGGTTCTGAATGGTTCGGATTACAGACATATAGAAGGAGCCTATCAGCTCTGCATGCCGAGATGGAAGGCCTACTGTGGGCAATCTCATGTATGAGAGATTTGAGGATGATTTCGATACGGACTGAGAGAGACTGCTTGGATCTTGTGGACATGTCTACTAGACCGGAGGACTGACCGGCTTTCGCGACAGAGATCGAGGTGTTTCAGCGACTACGGGAGGACTTTGAAGATGTAAGTTTGTATCATATTCCACAGAGTAGAAATGGACGAGCGGATGCACTAGCTAAAGAAGCAAGGAGTAGAGGTTACTCATTTAAAAAAAAAAACTAAATGATTTCATTCTTTATTAATACACTTTCTCCAACAAAAAGAAATATTTTAATATTATTTAGTTAAACAATTCAATTTAATTATTTTTAGAATGTATCTCCATGTAAGATAAATTGTCTCATGTAAAACAAAAGCACCCTTAGTCCAGTGGTTTGACTAACGAAATTATGCAAATTAAAGGAGAAAAAAACTTACAAGAGATTTGCAGTATACCGCATCCGATAGAACGACTGAGGTAATACAGTCAGACTAAATCCTCATAAGTAAAAAAAAAGCCTCATAGAGCTCTAGTGAACTTTTTTCCCAAAAGTTTTCATTTGAAAATCATTCTTAACAAAGAAATTATTTTCTTTAAAAACATATAAAATATTTAGATAAATAATAGAAGAGTTTAGAAATTATTTTATTTATAAAGTACTAAAGGTAATAGTTATTTTTAGTTTTTACCAAAAAGTATTACAATACGTTATATCAACTTATTATATATTTAAAACATAATAGTTTTAATCCAAAAAATAATACATATATATATTATAACAATAATTAATAAGAAAATCACAATTTTTATTACAATTTTAAATAAATATTTCTAAGGAGACAAAACGTAACAGTTTTGTGTATTAAAATAACAGAAAACTTAAATTAGTTGTTAAACCAATACTATATACTCTTTCCGTTTCAATTTAGTTGTCATTTTGGATTTTTATACACTGATTAAAGAAACATTTCATTTTACATATTTTCTAAAAAAAAACAAAATTACCTATACACCTAAACACATTTCAACCAATAGAAAATATAATAGTAGATAAGTTAATAATTTTTGCATTGAAATTATAAAACAACACTTATTTTGAAACAAAAATTTTACTTTACAACGACAAAAAAATTGAAACAGATGCAGTATATAATTTGTTACTATTAAATGACATAATTTAGTAATTAACCCACAAAACTATGCACATGTTCAACTTTTCTGATTTCAAAAACTTGAAGTAAAAGAAACATAAATTAATTACTAACCAAAATAACATATAAGATGTGTTTCGGAAATCTAATTAAGTATACATGTGTAGATATGTAAACATTTGCTATATATAATCTTCAATACTTAAGATTTAAATTTGTAGGTTGCATATGATTTACAACCAGACAACTTTCTATCACCAGTTCGAGCAACTTTGCTTTATTTGTCACTGTAACTGGTAGTAGGATGTTACCTTATTGTAGATCATACATAGAGATCTCTTTCACAATCAAGTTTTGCTCTATAACATAATGAAATCTAGATTGGCTGTTCTCTTGGTGTTGTAAGATCTGAAACATTCCACCACCAACGGTTGGTGATAACTTCGGATAGTGCTACTCTCCCCGACCTCAACCATGGTTTTGTTTGATTTGTTTTGATTTGATTCCCCATTGTTATTTTGGTTTAAGAATTAAAACAATGAAAAAACTTTTTCTTATTTTTTTTCTTGGCTTATGTTGTGATGTTTTGTATATTGAGTAAATTAAGTTTTACTATAGAATGGAAATTTGAATGGAGATGAAATATTTTTTTACTCCAAATTCAGAGAGTTGCTTTTTTTTTTGGCAAAATTGGTAAAAAAAGAAATATTGATTGTTGAATCTGCCCATTTGTATATAAAAATAGAAATATTTATTTTAGGCTCTAGACTTCAGAAAAAAATCCTAAACCCTTCAGAAACAATTCTGGCACTTCAGAAAAATTCTTGACCTTTTAGAAAAAATTCTAAACACTTCAGAAATAATTACGAACCCTTAAGAAACACTTCTCAACCCTTCAAAAATAAATCTGGAGTTTTCAAAAACAATTCTAGAGCCTTCAGAAAAAAAAACTTAACCCTTCGAAAAAATATGAATCATTCAGAAACAATTATGAACCCTTCAGAAAAATCTGAACCCTTCGGAAAAAATTCTGAACCTTTCATAAACAATTCTGAACCTTTTAGAAATATTTCTGAACCCTTCAGAAAAAAGTTTGAACCCTTCAGAAACAATTTTCAACCCTTCAAAATAATTTTGAACCATTCGAAAACAATCTAAACCCTTCAGAAATAATTCTAAACACTTCAGAAACCCTTCTAAACCTTTCAAACACAGTTCTGAAGCTTTTAGGAACAATTCTAGAGCCGTCAGAAAAATTCTGAATACTTTAG